ACCCACCCTTATTAACCCACTTTTCCATCCTTAAAATCCACTCTTATCATTTAGAGTTTCCCATGTTATCGTGCATCCACCCTTAAAATGTCTATCATACAGCCTTTAAGGGTGAACATTAATTGTTGTTTACAGCTACAACCCTGGTAATAGTTATTATTGCAAGTTGAAATCATTTATGTAAATAATTGACAATTTTCAGCCTCAAAGATAATTTGAGAGCGTAGATTATTTACAAGTACACTAGGCATTAGCTTACCACAAAACCTGCAATTATTTAGTACTAACAATGAGTTAGTTCAATCTACTGTAATTAGTCTCCATGCATAGAGAAATAAATGCGCAGCGGACAGTTCATAACAGAACTCTGTCTCTTGAATATTGTAGCTTAAAAAAATAACTGCATACCGAAAGGATCACAATATAAACATGTTTGTTTGTGGGACATGTACATATTCGTGGCATTGTTCTGATTGGTCAAATTGAATGACACAAAGAAAAGGTTTTTCTTTAAGGGTGATATTTAGGTGATTATAGCAGACTCAAATTTTATTAGAAAAACATTATAGACATGCCTAAACATGGTCATAACATCTCACCATGACCATAAGCTTTAAGGTTGAGGGTATTTTAATGATCTTTTCTTTGATTATGACTTTTGTTTGTTTATGTCAAATTTTGTATATTGTATTTATGAATTATTTGTAGATAGATATTAAATTATAGATTTTATTTTTTTTTCATTGTGTCCAAATTGAGTGATTGTATTTGTGAAGTTTTGAAAATTGATGTTTTACTTTATTTGTTTTCTTAATTGTAATTAATTATTTGCAATAAAAACACTTTAAGTTTTTGCTGATAATTAGTATTATTTATATTAAAGTAAAACTAAAATAAATACTTTTTTTAGCAGATCAATTAATGAACTTTTGTATGGCTTGCTGGAAGAAGAAATATCAAGCCACACAAGATAAGGAAAACAAACAAAACCAATAATACAACAATAATTTCTTCTTTGTACTAAATTCATACTCCAGTGAGTATTGAATAGAAAGCCGATCTTGTCAAACCCTGTATATACGCAAAAACACAAAAGTGCACTTCACTATATAACTAGCAAACGTCAACAATCCATGTTGATTTAATAACAGGATATAAGAATTTCATGATATATATTAAATTCTTAATATTAGGCACTGTAGGCCTACATTTCATCCCAACACATGGGTACGTACAGTGTGTAAATAAATGGTTATAAAGAACTTGTTTGATTTGGTTATGTTTTTCATCCAAACTGAATGATTTCAGTTTCTTAATTGCGGTTTGACATTTTGAGGTGAGGTTGTGTCTGGCAACACAATGTTTTGGATTCATTTACTGGTTGCAATCATTTACATACAACATGCAAAATCTGCAGAAAAATACGTATTGACCAGTCAGTGCATGAGGACAAGAATGTTCAGTTTGTCTGTTCAGCAAATCTAACTGATAAAGAAGTGGGCACAAATCACTGGATCACTTGGACATGGAACGGTGTAACGGTGGTGGACAATGACATTTTTTTCGTAGGATTAATGACACTTATTTGAACGAGATGCCTAGATATAGCACTGTGGGTACATCATCTCTCTCACAAAATAAATTAACTCAAACACTGAGTATCATAAACTTAAAAACAACTGACCATGTGATATATAATATAGTCGAGTTGATTGGCCGAGCGGTTAAGTCAGGGGCACCGTGACTTTCAGCTCTAATATCAGCATTGGTTCGAACGGCTCACTCGCCAATGGTTCCGGTGATGGAACAAGTCTTCTCGGATAAGGACTTTAAACTGTAGGCCCAGTGTACGCATTTGGCTCGTGTGCACTTTAAAGAGCCTGGTACATCATTCGAGAAGAGGAGGGGGTTACCCCTGTGTACTGGTCCATTAAGTCCCCTGTTGTTAAATGGATATGCCACGTGGACAGTGATTAAGTTCACTTATTGGCATATCCTTGGCCCTCCTGCCTAAAGAAATGAAATAAAATGAAAAATACAATTGTATTTTGAACTTCAAACCATCAATTATGAACTTTACAGCAGCAGCTGTGTTGTTGATCAAAGATTTTCTTCCTGAGCCACAGTGCATGTACACCATAATACAGGCTATGCCACTCACGTTTGAACTTTCTTGCACCTCCCAACCTGGGGACCCTCCAATAATTTTAGAGTGGTTTGATGAGGATAAATTCTCCTTAAAGTCAATTGATCAGAAAGATGATGTCAATGAAAATACAGCTTAATCTTCAGTTTGAAACTAACGGTAGTGATGTAGACTTGGTGAACTTCAGGTGTCAAGCAGGAAACACCATGACAGTAAAGGATTGCAATCTTGCTATTTCATTACCGAATGAAACTTTTTCAGTTAGGCCTCCAATTCAATCAACACTAGCTCCAGTTCAATCAACACTTGCTCCAGTTATATCAACACTTGCTACTCTTACACCAGACCAGTACACCGAATCAAGTACAGAAGGCAAACCTGATAAGGTCTACATCATTACATTTGCAACAGGATTCAGTGTGTTACTCTGCCTTATAATCGCAATGGTAGTGTATATTTTTTATGAAAGAAAAATTGATATAAATTAAGCACGTCTGGTAACAATAACAACGCCTTTCAAACTGTTAAATTACCAGATGATAGCAGCAAATATGTTGAGCAGCCAAAAAATGGAGAAAAGGATACAAGAGTGACCACAGCAAGAAAAGGTCATATTGATAATGAAAAGGATGAAATGATTACTTCATTTGTGATAGAAAAAGATGGTAATGGAACTGATAAAATTATTGGAGCTGAAGAGAAAGCAAAAGGGAATGATTATATTAGTGCTGAAAATCAATTGTATGGATCAATGGAATAATAATGAAAAGTTAAAAAATGGACTATTAAATTAAATTCCAACCCAACCCAACAATGTAGTTCTTAGAGTAGGGTAAACTTTATTTGTCTTTATTTAGGTAAAGACATAGATAGAATATGTATTAAACAAAAAAGTAGAGAAGAGTAGCACAACTAAGAAAACAAACTTTACATACAAAAACAAATTATAAGAAGTAAAACATTAATAAAAATAAATATTTGTACATCATGTATAAAAATACGATTTTTGCGGTGGAAAGAAAACTAAGGGTAGTCATTATCGTAACTTGAAATAACTTAGAGGTACATTAGGAATTAGCATCCCACATGGCCTGCAATTATTTAGTAACAGGAAGTTAGTTCGATGCCATTAGTCTATGCGCAATGGAAAGTTCATAAGAGACATCTCCGCTTAGCCACACCTCTTCAACATTGTTGCTAATATCCCAGAAAATAACTGCATACTGTAAACGTCACAACGTAAACTTGTTTGTTTGTGGGACATGTAGATATTCTTGGCAATGTTCTGATTGGTCAGATAAGTTTGATTAGCACAGGGAAATTGCATTGTTACAAAATAGAGGGCGCTATTTAAGTGATAGCAAATATGTACTTATCTTTTAGTCTTGTCCTCACTATGAAATTATATTTTATAAAAACATGAGACTTGCCTATGGTCATGATGACATCAAATAATGAGCATACCATGACTAAATGGGTATACAACAGCTTTTAGCAAAGATTTGATTTGCTGGAAAAGAAACATCAAGCTAAACATGACAAAGAACACAAAGAAAACAAATAATAGATGTAAATTCTCCTTTGTTCCTAACTCAATATTTTTATTTAACGCTGATTTCAGGAGGAAATAAACATTATTTTATTCTTTGCTTACTTTAAGATATTTATTGAACTGATGATGGGGGTAAGGAAAAAAAAAAGAATTTATAATAATTTTAAATTTTTTTACTTTATTATGTTATTTTTTAATGTCTTCTCTGGAATTATATTTTTGGTAAACTAAAATAATGTTTAAATTAAAATTTTGATATTTTATAGCTGCAATAATTTTTTGTAATTGAATAATTTTTAATTGAATTTTTTATATTTAAGCTGCAATATTTTTAATTGTAATTATTTTTAATTGTGATTTTCTTGAATGTCTTACACTGGAATTTTATAAACTATTTTGTACTATATTTTGTATACTAAATTAAAAATTATAGTGAGTTGATGATACTTTATTTAACCTGCAATTTTTTAGAATCTTACTGTGATATTTATTTTTGTATCCGGGGAAACCAAATTTCAATTTTACTTGTTGTACTATTGACAATAAATTTACTTTGAACTTTGAAATAATACAACAATAATTTCTTTGTGCTAAATTCACACTCCAGTAAGTATTGAATAAAAAGTAGATCATGCCAAAGCCTATGAATAATGTACAAACACAAAGGTATACCTCACTCATACCCAACAAATGTCGACAATCCATGTTGATATACAGTAACAGGAAATAAGAATTTCATGATATAATAAATTCCTCATACTGGATACTGTACATTTGACTCTCAATATATGGCTCCGTATATGTGATTAAATTGTTATAAAAGGCTTCTTGGATTGGGTAATATTCGCTTTACCTTTTATCTCTTGCATTTTATCATCAGACTACGCCCGAAGAGGGTCCAAACGGACCAAAGATTTGCATAAAAAAAACAGTAAGTGTTTGCATACTGTATATATAATATTAGTATTAAACTTTATTGTTGTAACACCTATACTTAGGGTCGAAATGGTTCCCCCATTTTATATTATGAGTTACACATTTTATCATGATATTGGATATATAGAAGGTACTGCATCCACTGCTAAAATTATTTCTTGAAGTTTTCAAACTGACTGATTTCGGTTTTCTCATTGCAGTTTCCTTTTTTGAGTTGACTTTACGTCTGGCATCATCATGTTTTGGATTAATTTATTGGTTGCAATCATCCACTTACAACATTTAAAATGTGCTGAAATAAGTATCGACCCGCTAGTGACCAGGTATATGGTGATGGAACACATTGGCGTAGTTCAATTTGTTTGTTCAGCAAACCTGACTGCCAGTGAAGTAAGCGTACCACACTGGTTTACTTGGACAAGGAATGGCATTAAGGTAGCTGATAATGGCACAGTTATTAATAGATATGACACATATTTGTATGGAATGCCGAGATATGGAATAGTTGGCCCTTCAATTTCACAAACTGAAATATCTCAAGCATTGAGTATCTTATATTTGGACCCATCTGACCATGGTATACATAACTGCATGTTGAACTTCAAACCACCCCATATGAACATTACAGCAAAAGCATTGTTGCTGATTGAAGGTTTTCTTCCAGAGCCAGAGTGTACGTACAACGTAGCAAAATCTGTGACCAGTATGTCATTTATAGTCGATCTTTCTTGTATCTCTCAACCTGGAGACCCACCAATAACATTGGAGTGGTTTGATGACTATGGAACTTCCTTGAAGTCAATTAATCAGACAAATGTTGATGAAATACATCTTTATCACCAGTTTGAAATGTCTGATAGTGACATTGATATGGTGAACTTTACCTCTGTCTCTTATACACATCTAGATGTGTATAAGAGACAGATATAGCACTGTGGGTACATCATCTCTCTCACAAAATAAATTAACTCAAACACTGAGTATCATAAACTTAAAAACAACTGACCATGTGATATATAATATAGTCGAGTTGATTGGCCGAGCGGTTAAGTCAGGGGCAACCAAGGGTAATAGTCATTATCTTAAGTTGAAATCATTTTGTAAATCATTGACAATTTTGAGTCTCAAAGATAATCTGAGAGCATAGATTATTTAGAAGTACATTAGGAATTAGCCTACAACAAGGCCTGCAATTGTTTAATATTAACAGGAAGTATTAGTTTGATGCCATTAAGTCAATGCGCAAAAGACAGTTCATATCAGACATCTCCGCTTAGCTTTGTCTCTTGAACATTGTAGTTAATGCCCCAGAAAATTAATGACGGCATACTCTAAGCATCACAACTCAACTTGTTTGTGCGTGGGACATCACATAATATTCTTGGCACTGTTCTGATTGGTCAGTCAAGTTTAATTGACACTAGGGAAAGGTGCATTAAACAACATAGAGGGCGCTATCTAGGTAATTATAGTAAATAGAGCACTTATCTTCAGCTCTGTCCAGATGATCAAATTTTATTTGACAATACATGGTCATGATGGCATCATAATTATCATGACCATATATAGGTACCTCATGACTATATATGGGTATCCAACATTTTTTTGGCAAAGAAAATAATGTATAACCATGGAGGAATTAGTTTAATTTAATGGTTTAACCTGAACAGAGCTTTATTGAGAGGGTGCTATATTTATTAGAAGATTATATAATCAGTATACAATTCTATTTTTGCGATTTTTTTAAAGTTTTATTGTATAATTAGTATAAATTCACAAGTTTGTCATCAATATTATAATTTTGTTGGGAATTGTGTGTGCACATTACTGCAAGGTTATAAAAATATTTTTCTAGAATACCTATCTAGTTTTAATGGTAGCTATCCATCACGTGTCCTAGGCCTACAAGCTAAAAATATCAAAAAACATGTGGAGCGACGAATTCGTTTTGTAATTATTTTGTATGGGGATATTGGGCCTAGGCCTCTCCGCTCTTTTGGGCCTACCATTGTCCTCGTTTTGTCGCTCATTCATTGTGCCGATGAGCACAGCTGAAAACATTTGCCTTCTCGCCCCACACCGTATCTTACTCCTCGTCATCATGACAGGAACGAGAAAGATACTATCCTATACAGTTAGGAAAACAACGTGTTGTATAAACAAAATGGTGACATAGTTTCCATCATGAAAACCGATTTTCGAAAAATCAAAAATGCACTTGTAACGCGAGCAGTCTGTCTGGTATTCATTAAAAAATTGGTTTAAAAAAATTGATTATTTTGTGTTTATCAGTAGAAACACACCCTAGGATAGTTGATGATTATTAGTAACAACTTAAATAGAATAGGAGTAACGGTAGTCTACATCTTTTTATATATATATATACTGTATATATAATCTTACATCAGTGAAATCGTTGCATCGTTTGAATAAAAGGGGACCTATGTTCTACTCAACTAAAGTATCAGTTTCAGTGTAATTTTGTATACTTTGACGTGACGCTGAATACGCACGTACAACTACCAAACAACCAGCATTACATTCATTGTAGCCTGAATGGACATGGATGCTGTCAGTTTAAAAAAAGGTCATCAAGTTTCTTGTGAAAGGGGGATTCCCTGCATATAAGCCAAAAATTTGACCAAATTTATGTTCAAGGGATTGGGCTTATATCACAGAAATAACAGTAACCACATCATTTTTGATTATTTCATATTTTATATACAATACAATGGAATGGCTGTTGATTGTGTTGTCATTATTCCCCATCACAAAGCTACAGTGTAAAAAACATGCTCTAAACACAAATCAAATATGACCTCATTCCAAGACTTGGAACGGAGCATCAAGGGTCCAAAAAGATCAGCTTTGATCACAGTGGTGGATCTAGGAATTCAAAAGCTAGGGAGGGCCTTTCACAGGACAGACCATCTCAACCACACCATAGGTGGGGCTGAGGTAAGTAATAAAAGCAAATGGCAGTTTCTTTCCTCTATCATTTTCTTGTTTTTATATATACAGATATATAATTTTGAAATCCCCTTATGGATAACTCTATTTTTAATAAAGTGGAAAACAAGAAATGAAAATATTAAAAAAAAAAAAAGAAATCCAGATATATATAAATTAATTCAATAATCAATTAATAAATGATTTTAAAAAATCAGAATATAAAACGAATATAGGTATCAATGAAAAAACAATTTAGAAACTGAGGAAAAATTACACAAACCATTAAAAAAATTCAGAATATACAAAATATATTTCTGCCTTAACCGCTCAGCTATTCCACTTGTTTTTTTTAAATTATCTCTCCTCACTTTCTTCCCCCTTTTTCCCCCCTGTGTAGTGCTTTTCCCTTTTTGCTTTGTGTCCATATTTATTACACCATTGAACAGAAATAAATTGAACTGAAAAAATAAGCAATACCTTCCAGATTTTGCTGCCAAAATCACCTTTCCAACATCCCTAGATATCACCATCTGCTCTTCAAGGATGTCACCTATTTGAAATTTGAAGTTTCGAAACAGCAGCCAATTTGAAATGGAAACCATAAGAAGGTAGAGAACATGAAGAGAGAAGAAGATGACGGAGAAGATCGTCTTGATCTTGAGCTGGTCACAATCAAAACTGGACCCACAATCAAAGTTCTGCAAAATATGATAATTTATGCAAATAAGCAGGTGTCTCTTTTTTCATTAAAAGGATTAACATGTTAACACGCTTCCTACTGTAGTTTCATTCCATGGCATATAAAGGACGCCACCATAGTGAAAATCATTCCCATCCACTGCAATGGAACATACAACATATATACAGAACGTTTTTTAGATCCTTACTTCCAAATTCTTCTCTGAACTTCTAGGGTGCGAATACACATTCTAATGACCACTTCCTGTGAGTTCCTGTACAATACAATTTTGTACTAAGTTTCGCAGGTGTGGACGTGAACTCACATCTTTGGGAAACTGAGAACCCTGTCGGACGTGAACTCGCGTCATTGGCAGCGTAAGTTTTAAAAAGGCAATATTAATCAGAATAAAAATACAATAATACCTTTCACCAAGACTCTACCCAGCAAACTTAGAAATAAAACACAAATATTATTCAGGTCAATGCACTCAAAAATGAATTGTCTTGAAATGACATTTTACATTTATGGTCTTTAAGAATCTTTTTGGTGTGTTGCTAGTTATTAGTATTTTCTTTGTGTGAAAAGATTGACAATTGTTTGGTTCTTACAAAAACAGCTCTTGAATTAGAGGCATCTCAGAATTAGAGAGGTCTGGAATTAGAGGATGCACTTTATGTTTGAAATGCAATCATCATCCACATTATGTTTGAAACTTGGCTCTGAAACAATTCAATCAAAACTTTGAACACTCCGGCATCAAGCCGTCCACTATAAAACAAAACTATTTTGAATACAGAGTCATAGTAGTTAGAGTATGGGTTAATAGAGAAAAAATATTTAGGTGTATACTTACGGTAATATCTTTCAATGAGATAACATCCAGCGCAATAGATGCACAGATGTTCAAGATTACAAGAATACCAAGTACCAACATAAATCGCCTTGGCCTGTTAATTAAGATACAAAAATTAATAATCAATTACCATATAATTACCATTGCAATGTTTCAATTTAAAGATGGCCATAAACTTTTATATATTTTTAACTTGCTACTTGAAGGTATAATGCTTATGATTACTATGATTTTTTTTAAATACAGTATTTAAAATTCTTTATTACTATTTTGCATAATGAAGTTTATATATTAAAATCCCTAATAAGGGGATACCTTTGTAACCAAAACAAGTGTCACCTTAATAGGGTTTGCCAAAGTGTTAAAAGATAACCTTTCCTTCATTTTGTGTTAAATTCCTTATTAATAGAGGTCTCTCAAAGGAGGGGGTATCTGTACATATAATTTTCTAGTTCAGTTAAAGGCAGTTAAATTTAGTTAAATTTTGACAATCCTTGGCATTTTGTAAATTTGTTAATGTTTTGTTTTAGTTTTCTTTGATTTCATTGTTCCGAAATTGAATTTATCAAATCATTATATAAAAAAAAAGCCAGGCTTTAAGATACATATATATTGCTTAAGGTCCCTTACTTTAGCAACAATATCCAAAGGGCCTTACCGGAAAAGTCCATTTAAGTTCATGTTTAATTAATTGTAAAATTGTCAATCAATGTTCATCAGACATTCTTTGAGAGTCTGATCAAAACAAAAATCTGATAACTCTGTAAAGATGTCAAGATTTTCAAATTTGACAAAAAAACTGTTGTATGCCCATACAGTACTATATATGGTCATGATGTGATGACATCATGACTATAATATGGCATGTCACATGTCTGGACTGAGCTTACTTTAAAGATATTATGTTTATTAATAGACACACTCCAACCTTTATCTTCTATATAATATGCAGAAAAGTTTTATACATTTTTTGTATTGGTTAACATATATTACTTATTTTGTTTTTGATTAGTTAAAAACGAAACTGCATCGATTATTGTAGATTTCCAGATTATAATGCATCTACTTACCAAAGACTTGAAGCACCAACAAAGCCAGCTTTATGTGTATAAGTAGGACACTTCCATAGGGCATAAATAGTTGTTACAAATATCCAAGCGATTGAATACCAGAATAGAGTGAAAAATGAGAACAACGTGAAAATAGTACTGATGAACAATAAACCCTGTGGAGCGTGAGATTAAAAGACATAAATTAAAGTTAATGTAATGCCTTCAAACGTTAGTTGGAATATCTGTCCTTCCCTAGGGCTGCATGTAACATAGTACATGCAGCTTCAAGGGAGGGGGATCGGGCAGCCAGCCCATGCCCCTACCCTAAAATGGGGAAAAAAGTAAGAAGAGTGCAATTACAGGCTATCTACAGGTGCCATGATCATAAATTTTCAGTAGATGCTCCATCTGTGAAAATTACTTGTTACATGGTACTTCTATAGTGCTTATTTTTTGCGGTTACAAAGTGCTAACCCTCAACGGTAATTAATATTTCCCTTAAGTACAGCCACCCCAACCAAAACTAACAAACATGTATTCATGAGTCAAAGATTAATAAAAATGGTAAAAAAGAATTAAAGATTAAAATAAAAAGAAAGCCCCTCCCTGGGCCCCCTTCACTTCAAATTTATAATCGCTTATGGAGACAATTACAGGTACGTTACTAAAGTTTAATTATGTAAATGTTTTTTGTTATGGCTCCATCTTTATATTATCATCTTGCAATCTGCAATTTATTAACAAGCCTTACCTTAAAGTCTGCAAGCATTCTTTCTCTCCATCGAAGCATGGCAACCTCTTCGAACAGCGCCACCGTCACTTCACCAGTCTGCCCTGAAGATAAGTTGGCTTCTCTACTAGCATGCAAATTTTTCATTGACTGTACATTAAGAATATATAAATAAGTAAACATTGATTATTATTATTATTATTATTATTATTATTATTAATTATCATATAGTAGAAATTAAGAAAAATATAACTAGCGGTCCATGGCATAGTCAACTATCAGATAAAGTCAATACACAAATTACAACTCTTTAGAGGTATCTACAGCACTTCCAATACAGTATATACTCGCGTATGAGACAAGGATTAAAATAGCAAATTACGATCGAAAATCAGGCAGTGGTCTTATACGTGCAACATGTAAATACTATATTTTTGAAATCATGTTCGTCTTATGTGCGAAGCGTCCGCAACATTTTAAAGTCCATAAAGCAGCAAAATGTATGAATTCCGACGATGAAACAGGAGTCGTTTTATACGCCCGACATACAGATATCGTCCAAAAATCTTCTCAAACTCGGGGGTCGTCATATAAGCGGGTCGCCTTATACACAAGTATATACGGTAGAATTTTTTTTTTCTTTCTCTCTCTTCTCTTCTTTCTTTGCCTTTTTTAGATTCTGTTTATTCTGTATTTAAGGGGGAAGGCTGTAGCCCCATTTCCCCCTGAATCGTCCCCTGTCCTAGAAAGGGCTTCTTTAAATTTTGGATCCCTGTATCACTCACCTCTTCATTCTTTGCCATTGGTATCATCTTAATGATTGATTTATCAATAATTTTGTAGTCTTCCAACGTGTATGCATCTCGAAGAAACTGTCCTTTGTATCGAAGACGAAACTGAAAGTCATCACGTGCCATCCCGTACAGAATGTGCAGAATCTTTGCCTTCACTCGGGCCAATGTCTCCCCTGGCTCACATTTCAACACAAATGTGTTTATCTTAAAAGAAAGAGTATTTGATTAAACCATGATGACTGTTAGTGTCATATATTAGGGCCTAGGCTAGTCCTATATCAATGTTTAATACACCTTTTGTAAACACTTCCACACTGCAAGTACCTAGGCCTATAATATCATAATGAAAACTTGGAGACACTGCTCACTGAACGGTTCACTACACAATAAATGAGTCAAAACAGGACCCCCTTTTTTTCACAAAGTCGACTATATAATTTGAATGGTTTCATTTGGCAATCTGTGACGATCGGATTATAAAACTAGATGTTTTAAGATTTATATAATCATCTATATATTGTTGCAATTAATGCAAAATTGAGTGAACATTTTTCTTTCAAAGTTGACTACCTCTTATGCTTTCGCATAGGGAAAAGGTTCAAATTAAGAAGAGTGTTTTTTTGGTATGCTTCCTGCTTCTTTTTACCATAACTCTACAACGACAAGTCGCTAAACTTTGGGGTAAACGGTTAATTGTAGCTCATAAATTAAGCTTTCTTGCCATGTAAGTCCCATGCTGGTTGCTTATAAATAACCATTGATCATTTTTTCTTTAAAATTTTGTATTCAGAACTGTTTTTACCCACTCTCAATGACGTCACATGCTTAATTAAGGCCAACAGCAGCTACGAATTTCGAGTTGTCTGTGGTTTTGCGTTCATGCATAAGATGTACGTCAAATATACTGAGTTTGTCGAAAACAGGGGAAAAGATTTTTATTATAATGAGGTAGGCCTAGGGGCTAGGCCTATTTTGTATTTGTACATTCCCACATAGGCCCTTCTAGCAGTTTTAGACATGCTACTGACACTGTACAGTAAGTAGGCCATATTAGTAGTAGTAGTAGGCCTAGTACGGATTAAGGACTAGGCCTAGACCCAGGACGCCAACGCTAGCCTAGTCCTGTACTATTCTACTACTAATACAAGCCTAGACTAGAGACAGAGATGCATAGGCCTAGCCTACTAGTAATCTAGACAGACACTGAGACAGTACTACTTAGCTACTAGGCCTAGACCTAGCTAGGCCCTAGGCCTAGCCTAGCTAGGCCTAACCTAGTCCTAGGCCTCCCTCCTAGCCTAGGTTAGGCCTACTGACCTTGCTTAGCTTTGGTCCTACCTACCTGGAAATCTTTACTCTCAATGTAGACAAGCATGATGTCTCAAAAATATATAGAAATTGATAAAATGTGGGAAATTTAGGCCTATTTACGACTCGACATTGGGTTTAGGCCCTAGGCCTACGGTTTGTGCGATCAATTCACAACACAGCCACGACAGTTTACATACTGACGTCACTGGAACCACGGAAACACTAATTAGAAGAGCACCCTCTACGAGATTACGATATGATGAAACTTTATTGTAAGCAACAATAAATAACAGAGCTTTAACTACAGTCGGCAACCCTTTACTTCTAAGGAACAATAATTTTGTGCCCTAGCTTCCCACGACCCAAGACCTCGAGATAGAAATGTTATCCAAGATACAAAATATACTATCAATGTAATACAATAGAACCCACCACTTTGGGACACCTCTGTTTAGGGGACACCCTTATTTAAGGCCTGTTATACTTGCAGAGATAACGGTAAAGATTAAAAGCTAAAAAGCAATTGTTCATATAGAAAATAAATGAAATAAGAGAAGTTTTTACACTAGGACGATTCGATAACGATATATAGCTTATACGATAACGACATATTTTGACAAATCAATTCAAATGACGTACGCCTTAATAAGGTATGTGCGGTTAGAAAAAATAAATAAAAATGCACCATGTCCCTTAAACAGCTTCGTACCAAACAGACCGCAATAATGAAGATTAAACAATCACAATAACATTGTTTGGATCAGCAAATTAATATGTTTTCCCCCCAATTTTTCATAAATATACAAGTGCCGTATCAACAAATTCTTTACAATAAAAAATATTCAAATCAGTGACAACTAGTACCTTGCATTCTTCTAATAATAAAATATCTGTCTATTTAAATACGTTTATTATAAAGGATATATTTTCAGGTTCCGTTAAAATTACTGTAGTGGTAATAAAATAATATATAAAACGTGTATTGTTGTTTACATCAATTGCCTATCATATTTATTTCATATCTTCCGTCTTTACATTAATAAAAAATACATATATGCTTAATACACTCAACATTTACATAAAAAATTAAGTTCGCATATACACTAAAAACGGTATCAATCAGATTAAACGTATTTGCAAGTAAGAATTCACAAGTTAATGATTAGTAGTACCAAAACCGGTGCTTTAGATTAGGCAGTGGCTATTGTTATTTTAACAGTTACATCGTTTGCAAACAAATTTCTAATTTTGATTGGATGTTATTGTTTTAATCCAGCCATGCATACAATAGCATCCAATCAGAGTCTGGGCCTCCTATTTTGAATATACCGGTTAAAAAATAGAGTTCCGTTACCTCTGGATCCGTTATTCTCCTAGTGTGAGCAGTGGAGGAGGGTGTAAACAGAGAGAGATACAGCGGGTGAGTACCAGAGTAAACATTTAATAGGCCTGTAGGCTATTGTTATAAATATATAATGTAGGCCTACTATTAGAAGTTATTCTGATGAAGTTTACACGACTGGTTAATTGTCTACAATTATTGAAGTTGCTACTATCTCAGGCCTAGCTTTAAAAAAAATGGCTGAATTGAAGCATTATAGCGACACGTTTAAAAGATACTTTGCTATATCATAGCATTTTCTGAAACGAGGCACATACGGGTTCTACTAGCATACCATGATTTAGTACTTAATGATTTTGCATCTTCGACGTTATCATTGTGATTCAAATCGATGTCGAAGTGACTGCAATTAGCCTGCATGTTTTCGATAGATCTAATGGGATTGGGAAAGGTATGCTTATATACTACTTCACTACCACACTGTACCACCCATGTATCATTTTTTTCGAAGTTACTCATGTAACTAGTACACTAATAATAACAATATATATTGCTCGTGTTGTATTACAGGTCTTACAAGTGGATGTCATAATACTGACGTCCATGGATACAAAACAGATCGTTGCGCCATTCAGGCAGTTTCTGCGCCAACACTGCAACGAATTGTTAGGCCTTTTTTGGAATTGATTAAACGTTATTTGACTTTTGGCATCTATATCTATATAATCATCTGATATCTTATTTCATTTCATTGCATTTCATTTTCATTTCATTTATTCGAATACAAAAACTTACATCTATCTTATTTTATTAACATGCACATAATCGTAGGTTTTATATTATTACCCTTATTTTATTTAAAATATTTTATAATACTGTTGTGATATTAGCTTTTTTTAATCATTATTATAGGTATTATATTTTATTGTTATTTTACTATTTTATAATAATTATTATTATTATTATTATTATTATTATATATTATTATTATTATGTTAGGAATCACGTAAATTTCGTAGACGCCACTAGTCAAATTTCAAATACGAAACGAATGAAATTTTATATTCGCCTACTGGAGTCTTTCGACGTTTGCACCTTTTTATCCTCCTTGACGGGCTGATTTGATGAACGCCATCGCGTCTTCGAGCATCCAAGCATCAACCATAGTAAGAACTAACATGTGTTGAAACCAAGAAGCTAATATATAGACTATATAATACCTTTTTGGTTAAAATGTGATGTTGCATCTATTTCTACTAACACACAAGTGTAGACATTAGGCTTTTCTTTTTCAGGGCAACGAAGCTAATAAAAATTATGGTGGAGATCTTGTCGATACTATGCAATGTTAATACTTTATAAGAAACTTAGCTAGATTGTATATCGGAAACAAGGTTTAATTATTATCGTATCATACAGAATTGCGATGATAATAGGTTAACCATGGATTCCATGGCTAAACTTCAGTAGGCATTCTCATCTCCATGCTAGGGACTGTCAATAGATGCTGATAATCTGACAACATTAGATCTTATATCCAGCAACATTTTGACAACATCAATTTATCATATTAAACAGCATCAACTAGACTATTTATGACGACAAATTGAACTAACACTTAGGCCGATATATAATAAAACAGTTGTTGTTTAATTATGTTGATTATATGCAAATGTGACGGGACCACAGGTAAGTTACTAACACAGCAAGACATCGCCTCGAGCATCCAAGCATCAAACCAAGTAAGTCAACTAATTAATATAGGATTGTTTATGTAGAAAAAAAACAATCATACTAATATTGTACCCAATGCCCATTTTGTAAACCACTTTATATAAAATCATAGTATTTTTATTTATTTATTTTTTCATTCGTACCGATAGTGGGTTAGGTCAGTTTTGATAATGCAGGTGCTGCCTCAATGAGTCTTCAATTGTACATATGAAATTGTTGCAATAAATTTCTACATCTGTACAAAAAAATGTGTCTTGTCTCTTTTTCTACGTTGTGTATCGGAGTCTTTTTTAAATAACATCTATGGTCAGCCCCCCCCGCCCCCCCCTCCCCCAATACATTGTATCCCTATGAATTTGTTTCAATAAATTTGTACATTAGAATATGCGTTTATGACTCGTTTATTTAACATCCTAAAAGTGTTTTTGTCTGAATTTGTTATGAATTGCAATTTTGTAAATGTAAAGCAATAGTAAATGTAATATTGTTAAATTTCAGTATATGTAAATAGAAGACGTATAATAACTAATAGCATGTCTTTTTATTTCCAGAAATATTAATTTTGTTGTCCACAGACAGTAGAAAGGCGACGAATACACTGTGCATCACAGGTCTTGGTCGCCAATGCATGTGTGCGGAATAAAATAAATATATTCGTTCAATACGTATTTTTTAACTTTGAAGTTCATTTCGTTTCAGAAAAAAAAATCTGGTGATTTTCATAATGATGCTTGAGGAAATATGCTAACATATTGATTGGATGGTCGTACTTCTGCCGATGACTAATTATCGACGTGGAATGAGAAAAAAAAAATATTAATGATGATTGTGATTATGACGGTAGCGATGAATATTTTAATAGTGACGATTAATACAGATTTTAAAGTTGTGTGTAGTCTATTTGAGTTTCTGTGAATTGTGGTTAAAATTGATTGTTACTACAATATACTATAATGACAAATGATGGTGATAAAATACAGTGATGACGATTAACGATAATAAAATGGTGTGTCTAAACTTGCAAAGGTAAGTTGTGAGATAATGTTTGAATGTCTGAAAATTTTCAAGGCGACTTGGTGGGGTTGTGAAATGACGTGATGTGAAGCTAGAATATATTCACAGGCAATATCTATACATTATATTGTGTTTTCATTTCAGAAAAAGAAAAAAAAAACATATTTTGATAATGCGTGTGAATTTCCAAATAAATCAAACCAATTTGCTAGGTGGAGTAGTGCCTCTTCTGACGGAGAACTGTAGACACAATGTGCTCATGGGGACGATGATAACGGTGATGAAGATAACGAGTGGTGTAATGATGGCGATATAGATGATACAGTGATGATAAAAACGATAGTGATGATGACATGGTAGACCTATACTTGAAGATTAGGTACCCGGTAAGTTTCAATGCATTGGGGCTTGTGGAATGATCTGAAATAAACCTATAGTAAATGCATGGATAGTTAGCTTACTTGCTGTGACTGATATTTAGGCCTAGTTGAAATTCTGTCATTTACATTTAGCGGACCCACGATATTTTGGCCGGTGTGGGAGCAAGAGTGGCGATTGAAGATCATTTCTATAACAATTCAGTAATCCTTGCATTATTAGGTGTTGAAACTTTGTATTCCAACTTTTAGCATCTTGTATTTTTTAAATTTAAGCAATTTCTCTTTGTGTACCATGTATGTACGGTTTTTTAATTATATTTTCTAATTTTTGTAGTAATATGGTTGCATTTAAGGAACCATCATGGCTGTGTTTATATCGATGTGACAATAAAGTTTCATAGTATCGTATCAGGGAACAGTGAAATTTCTCTGTTGCCTATATCGATCGTATTGAAAGCTCCTGTCAGAGGAGAATGTTTCATTACCAATTCTGTGGGTCTAGGGCCATATTAATCTAAATTTAGATGTCCAGAGGATGCCAGAGGCGGGCCGAACATCCTTTTTCGCTAAGTGTGTTTAACATACTGAATTAGATTTATTTGGTATAAAACAACGTGATGATTCATGTCAACATGAGTCCATATTTCTTAATCACATATTAATTATTTACATAGTAGTCGATACGCAAGGCATTAAGTGATTGTGGACTGTCCTTCGACCTGACTGGAATGTAGTGTGATCGATTTAAAAACAAGGAAATATGTGGACGTCGATGGTTAATAATGATGGTATGGTAATGGACGCTATGATATTAATAACGAAAGCTGATTATGCTAAGGTGAGTTTTAATGGCTTTTTTTTAATTGCCCGTTTGATTATGCATTCTGTTCCAAATGACATGATGGGACTGCAACAGCGGTGTATCAAAAATTACCCTAAAATACATTGTTGGATTAAATGTTGATTCTACTAAAGGTTGGTTTCAATGTTGCTATCTTGAAATTATACTACCAAAAAATTGAGTTATTAGATCTACATGGGTGTTTTCATCCTAATGAACACATCATGTTTACCATAAATCCTTCTTTTCCAAATAACGATGAATTTGTTACTATATTTTTGCAGGAATTCAGAACTGTGATTAAGCTAATACCAGCATTGACCCAGGAAGCGAATTTTATCTGGTTTATCAGCAGAATCACATCCGTTCAGATGGAATGAGCCAATCTGGTCGAATTAATTTAGAGATGCCGAGTATTTTTGCAAATGTTAAAGAACACAGAACATACAATTTGATATTATGGTTAAGGCTATTCGTCATTGCAGTTGGTAACTATAATAATAAAATATAGGCTATGTAATAATAATAATATTAATAATAATAATGACGACGACGAGATATAAAAAAAGTCTACATTTAAAATAATAACAACCGTACGAATACAGTATTCATCAATACAATTACTTCTTTGTTCGTTTTCTATATTTGTCATCCTATTTGTTGTTGCTTGTTTCGTACATTACTGTTTCATATCACTTTCATCATTTCATTTCGCCCTAACCTAGTCCATCCTCTCTCATATCTAAACTCAATTTGGCCTATAGATTTATTTTAGATAGTCAGGTTAGCTAGGTCTTAGTTGTAGAGTAGGTAAGATGTAGATTAAGTATTAGCTAGGTTAAAGAAAGTAGATTAACATCCTAAATGAGAGAGGAATGGGAAAAACATTAACCTCCATCATTAACATCAATTCAATGTATCCTATTATTTCATTACTGTATTGTATTACAGACATCGCTCTTCACAATGTGTTCGTCCAATCAGATGATGTTATAAAAATACTACTGATCAATAAAATTTACCACATAAAATAAAGACACAAAAATAACTATAAATGTAAAAGTATAACAATTGCAATGACATGTGCTAAAATAATTTTTTGTGGTAAGTTAAACTGTTATCATTTGCTATATACTGTATTCAGTTGTGATGTTGATGCGAATAAAAATGATAAATAAGCAGGACTGGTTAATGCTTGATTGTATACAGTCTGTCACACCGGCATTATGAGCATATATTGAACGATGGATGTTAAACCTATACCTAAACTTAAAAAACCTTGAATGACTTGTCATATTTTTTTATTTCTTGACCACAGCGAGTTAATGTATTAACATAACGTCAACAGGCAGTAGTTTAATTATTGGATACTTTATCAACTTTCCAGTTTATTTTATATATCAAGTAGTTTTGAAACAAACGTGCTCATGATTGTACATATAGTATATATTTCACCACACGTTCAGTGCCGTAGAAAATCTTGTATTCCCAACTTCATTCACATTTATAATGATAAAGTTAATAGATAATTCTGGTTTTAAGTGCAATTTTGGCCTAATTTAATTAAGTTTAATGTGTAATATTGTTTAATAATGTTTAATATTCTTTGTATGTAGGCCTACATCTTATGACTTATAATTTGTTTGTTTATATCTTTATCTTTTATTTATTACTGATGTTATGAACACTTACTTCCACTGAGAGTGGAATGTAATTTCTGAGTTTTTCAGACAATAAAATCTTGACTCTTGAATCTTGAATCTTATTATAAATACTTGTTTGATGAGAGCGTGAAGAGAGGGTGAGGAGGTCAAGTATATAAAAATGAAGAAAACTGATTAGTTTTGGCAATGAATTACTAATGTACAGTAGAGGGATTCTCGACTACATATGCAGTATACAATGGGACAACCCTTTAATTAATGTTCTCTCAAGTGTCCCTTTAACACTTTTACTGTGATAAAATACTTTAAATAAAAATAAATAAATAATTATACAGTAGTATTTACATGTATAATGTAATATATAAATACATAGTTTGCATACTTTTCAGGAGAATATAATATTATATATGGAAGGAAAACAAAATTTTTCTATTAACAAACCGACAATCAATAAAACAATGTACATATTAATATGTATGAAAACAGTTATTATAAACTAAATTTAGGTATTAGGATCGGGAGTTTTATGGTCTTTATATAGCACCTTTGGGTCCGCCACTTTTTGGATTTCAGAAAACTGTCTTTAATTGGAGGGTCCTTAATTAGACGTACACTACATACAATCAGGGAACAGTAAAATTACATTAATTTCACTGTTCCCTGATAAAATATACAACTACTCCTACGAGAGCAAAGTGAACGACGTGGCCAAAGAAGTTTTGCACTGGTTTCATATCATCCTGGAATCGAAGAGCAATCCTAACAGTACTGTATTCTGTTTCAATGAACTAATATATATACGTCCTACTTTATAGCTGAATTCTGTTTGCATGTTTTCATGTAGACTGTCCAATTGCGCATGACGCCCTCCTCTTTCCGGCGGTTGTATTTAGCAACCTGTACCAAAAAAAAATCAGTACAGTAGTTGCTAAATACAACGGGTTCAGCCGAGGGGACTTGGCTTCGTTTGGTGACGTCATGCATAGTTTCAGCTAGACTACTTCTTAATCTTTTCGACAGAGTGGGCCCTATATGTAATCTCACAGCACATCAAAATACAGTTGTTTTTTTTTTTTTTTAATTAGGATCATCAAATTATGGGGCCTACACAGACTGAACTAATAAATAGGTCTAAGAGGTGGGAAATACCGTAATCACAAAGAAATGAAAACAATTAAATGGCCTATACTAAAATACAGTACTTATTCCACTAATTTTCCAATCCTAATCCCATGATGAACAATCATGTTAGTGTAAAGAGACAATTTGTTTAATAAAATTTAAAAAACGTTCACAACATGACTGCAGAAATTAAGATGTACAGCATTGCTTTTTATTGCTTTTTTTGGTACGTCCTTAAAGACCAGAAGCTACCAATGTGTGTAAGAAGACAACTATTCTACCAATGTATTATTCTTGTACTTACATATTGTGAAACATGGTCTCTCATAAGAAGGTCGAGAATTTATTGTGCTTCACGGCAAGGCGAATGAATTGAAAAATGATTGGTGTCACATGGGAAGAAGTTATCCAACAAAGAAGTGTGTGGTCAAAGAAGTAAGACAACTAAAGTGGAAATGGGCAGGCCATATCATGCGAAGACCAAGAGGCAGACCCGGTAATAGATGGACAGACAATCTACAATGGTGGGGTCAGTTAGATGCAGACTGCACAGAAAAAGTCAAAAATGAAGTAATGATGAGCTACATCAGCCACAACCAGACCATCGAGAATAAGTTAAATAATTATATTAAAAATACTTGCAATAATGATTATCACCTTTCAGTCCCTAACTTTGTTAAAAAATAAAGAAAACAATGTTTTTAATATTTCTTTTAGTAGAATTAATGTTTTTTTAAAAAAAATGGGTTAATTAGTAGATCAAGTAGGCTATGTCTTATATTAATTATTTCAGGCTTATCCCAATATTGACATTTTTAAATTTGACTTAACCTACTTTTCGTCTTACTGTCTTTAATGTGACGAGTTAAGTGATTTCAATGTTTCTTGTCTTGTGTACCATTCTGTAAGCGGCGGATTTGTGTCTGCTGCTGATTTGGTTAAAAAATAATAAAATAATAAAATATTTTACTTGATTTAAAATTCTTTTTGCACTTCAATTTATCGTTATCGTTGTCGTTGTCGTCGTCGTCGTCGTTGTCGTCGTCGTTTTTGTCGTTGTGTATGAATAATTTTAATGCACTAGTTAGTTGATAACTTCATTCTTATTTGTTTTGGGTGCTTTTTCTGCATTTTTATAAGCGGTTATGACATGGCTTAGTCCTGGCTCTAGGCTATGTAATACTACAATACAAAATCACATCAATTGAAAATCAAATTTGTGAACATACCTGCCTTATATCTTAAATAGCAGGTAATTGTATTGGTAGAGGAACGAAAATTTTTCCAAATAGCCGATTTCGTATTGAATTAATAATTTAATATATGCCTACAAGGAAACCCTATATAAATGGAGACTTGCCGTGACAATCGTGACGCCTTAACTGCATCACCACTTCGTCGGACTGAGTTTACTCAATGTAGTTCACGATTTATTCTTCAATATTACCCAGTTGTTTGTGTACTCAGTTTTTGGTTGGTATTTGTTTTCTTTTTTGAAAAGATATTTAATCTAGCTCTCGCTTAAAACAATGTTTATTTTCTGCTCAGGCATTTAGTGTTTATTTGCACTATTAAATCAACGACCCAATCATTTATTTTAGTCGTGGGAAAATCTTTCTGTTATTCATGAAGCTTTTCAACCTTTTCATGTTTTGAAAATCTGGTTCGTGCTTTATTTTATTATGTCCGATTATTATATACACTTTAATTGATTGTTTTATTTTGGCCAAAATACTTTCAATACACTATTATTAACGTGGCTGCCTATCAGTTATTTACTCAAACCACCCTTCTGTGCCTTGGTTTGTTGCCCTACGAATCCTTTTGCTAAGTAAATTTGAGCAATCTATTGACACACACATTTGTTTATGCAAACAGATTCAACTGCAATGTTTTTTAACCACCTGCATTTACCTTTCAAGAAACTTCCATCACGTGCAAATAATAATAAGCTTTATTTCAATCCGTCGTATCCAGCTATGATGATTTTATTTCATTCTACTACGTTCTTGCCTTGTAAGACCTAGTAGTGACACCAATATTTTCCCGACATTTGGGCTAATGTCTTCTTTAGGGTCAGGGGTAGCGCCAATAATGGGAAGGGCCCCATCGGGGAAAAAAAACCATAATTCGTCGGAGAGAAAAAAAATATATATATGTATTTCCTACATATTAGTAAACTCTAAAATCGATGAAATAAGCCTTTGATCCCCTAAAGTGTCAACAGTTTTAGGGCTCCTTTCCATGGACTACTTTCAGAACATTTAAGCAACGTTCGACCACGCCCACTTTGCCCTCATCTGGGTAATCCGCCCCCTCTGGCAAATACTGGCGCCAACCCTGTAAAAGTTAGGAGGCTGTGGTCTCACGACTAGATCGCAAATGGAGCCATATTGATGCCACGTTCAGAATTCCTCTAAGAGGTCTAGAGAACGAATCTCCGGAAGCTTTGATAATTTAGTGATTTGAATAATTTTTAACAATGCAAAGACACCCCCATCGAATTGAATTTTTCTGTTATAGTTTTGTAATGATAGTGTGTTTGATATTTTTGCTATTACCTATATTCTTAAATTGTTTGCCATTTTTTATATATGGTTTTTGTTTTGTAAAATCGAAGGGAAGTGTTAGATATATGATGGTACACCTAATTCTATAGTGAAGAATTTTTTATTGTTCATTTTAATAAATTTCTAGTAGAACTAATTTAAAGACCTTCGATTTATATTGGTTATGTTAACGATGTTAACGATATTGTCTAATAAATTAATAATTATAGTGGCAGTTACGTTATCTGAAAAATAAATTCAAAATGTGTAAATATGACTTTCGTTAACTTTCAAATAAAATATAGTGTCTGCCCAAAAAATTGGGGAAAGCGCAATATTTGTTGTTTTGTTTTTTTTTCAAACATATAAATCTCATTTAATAGGATCATATTTAGTCACATTTTCAGCCAGAAAAGGGATAGCTGGTTTACAATTTGCTAATTTTTTTTCTTTTTTTTTCAACTGTAAGGTAATATCGTATTTAAATAGGCCTATTCAAATTAGGCAATAAATTAAGATAATTTTCATTCTTTTATCTCATTACATAGTATAATTATTATATAGTATAGTATTATTATTTTAAATAATATAATCACAAACTACGTTAATCAAAAATTAATTAAAGATAAAACGTTTGTAAGTTATGAACGAAAAAAAGTAAAAGTGGACTCTGGGTCTGGTTTGACAATTATTATTTACAAACTTAACGTAGATAACAAAACAGTTGTTTATTTAAAAAAATAATGCAGATCAGTAATAAAAACATTTATAATGTTTGTAGATTTTCTTTTTCTTTTAGTACTTATACAATAGGTCTTCCTATTTTGTTAACTTAAAGAATCTCTCAGCTTTCATGAAAGTATTATTATATAATTTTCTAGCAGAATGTAATATAAGTATACTGTACAGGTACTTTATACGTTACAGAACCTTCTCAGTTTTCCTACATTGATGTAATATATAAATATACTGTAAGTCAACGTATTGTTGACAGATGGCATTGTTAATGGGTCTTTATTCTATCGTTTTTGTTATTTTCTGAGACGTAATTTATTTTTAACAAGTGACAAATTTATTGTAAAATATTCTACATGTAACATTGGACATATTTTAATTCTTTTCTAAATCTTTCATGCATTTGATGAAAGTCATTTAGTTTCAGGTTTTTAGTACAATCACCATCATCAATTAAATTAAAATTAAAACAATGTATATTTTTTGAAATACCTGTTATTTTAACGTGAATTTATCAACGTTTTATGGAGTTTTTGTAGAT